AGATATATAGATATTGTGGGATAAGATGAGGTATAAACAAAGATCACCTTGAATATTTGGGCTGCTCTGGAATTCTAGAGACCCTGACTCTCTTGCCCAAGAAGATAGTCATACTAAAGAAGTTGGGTCCAACACTGCTGGTAATACCCTAGGACGCTCAAATAAATATTTGACCATACTAGAAGGAGGAGTCTTTGGCTGACACCAACCTGACCCCCTGAGTGGACAGGATACCATTTGGGAACTTGGCCTCCAGACTCTTGAAGACATAATTTTTCCTGTGGTGATAGTTCAACGCATTTTATGAGAAACAGTCAAAGCAATAGGATATGTTTAATTTAGGGAAGACTCATGGAAGTTGGGGAGTGATAAAACAAAGGAAAATTCAAGAAAAGTTAGGGTGGGCAATGCAAGAGGACCAGGATAAACACCTAGGTTTGTCAGACTCCAGAGTCTTTGCCTTACCAACAGTAAGACTGAAAAGAAAGTAATGGGCAATAAGAGAAAAAATTAATATGATTTGGTGGCTAAAATACACTTTTTCATTGTTTTATGCATTTCTTGACTCAAATCCAAAATGGATTTAAAGACATTTATAATACAGGACACATGTGGAATAAATCTTCCAAAATAAAGGTTAAAAACTATTTAGAATCACATAAGGAGAATAATGAAACCAACAATGATTGCGACAGAGTTCGATCACAAAATTTAGTTGTTCATACATGCTCTTACATTCATGCTCTCTCTGTGAGCTGCCATAATATTTGCCAGATTGAGTTTCCAGCATAGAAGTGGCAGCCATCAACATTACTGACTACAGTAAAGTTTCTGTTGTGGTAGTAGCAGTGGTATGAATAGTGGTATCTAGTGTTTTGTTATATCAAGAGTTTCATCATCACACCAGTGAATTTTTGGAACCTGAAAATTTAGTCCCATGCCTGGTTCTCCTTGCCTCATGATGATGCTTTTAGCTACCAAATATCCTTTCTTTCAACTTACTTGTTATTGAAGTATATTTCACACACAGTTAAATGTACAAATCTGAACTGTACAGGTCAAAGAGTTTTCACATATGTATATACTGTGTAGGCAACATCACGACCAAGACATAGAATACTGTCATCATTCTGAAGGCTACTGAGTTTGTGCTGAATCATATTTCTGTTGAGAGTCAGAAATGTTCACATACTGTTCATATCCTCAGCACAAATTAATACACTTTCAGCTTTTAACAAATTTCGTCCATTGGTAGATGAGGAAAATTTTGCATGGCCTAGATGATTTCTTTAAAATTTTAACATTTGTTTCTGTATAGATATGTAGTAAAATTGTTGTAGACCGAAGCCTCTGCCAATTCAACATTGCACTGTTTCCAAAATATTTATTTTCTGTCTAAAGGTCACTTTTAATAACATAATCAAAGTTAATTTTATCACAAATCTTCATTTTTTTCTTTCCTTCCTTCATTTTTTAAACCTTTTCAAAGATTTCTAGAATTGACTCTTTTAAGGATCATTTTGACAAATCATAATTCAAAATTACAATACGGTTTTAATCACTTTTCAACAACTCTTCAGGTTATGAACAGAACAAGAGAGCATGAAATCTTCATTAACATGCTGATAAAACCAAGACGTAGATGTTAGCCAAAGATAATGGCTCCCACACATCATTCATATACAATAGTTCATGAAGGAGATGGTGATAATTTGTTCTGGAGCAGGGGTTGTCAAATTATAAGCTCACAGGCTAACTTCTGCCTCCTTCCTCTTTTTGTAAATAGTTTTATTGGAACACATCCACGCTCATTATTTCAGTATTGTCTGGCTGCTTTTGCTCAATGAAGGTAGAATTGAGTAGTGGCAGATAAAGACTGTATGTGCCCCCACAAATCTGAAATCTTTACTATCCGATCCTTTACAGAAAAACAATTGCCAACCCTTGGTCTCTAATGTTATCAGGGCAGATGAAGACAAATAGATGAGTAGATTATATTATTGGAAACAGAGCAGGAAGAATCCTAGTGTGTTCTAGGAACACAGGAAGGCCATAAACGGACCCAAATTCTATCACTTTTTTTTTCTTACTTTGTAGCACATTTGTACCTATTGCTTTTTATTTAGATGTTAATTCACTCATTCAATGAATATTCTTTAAGTTTCCACTCTATGCCAGACACTGTTAGTTGCTTCGCACAAACACACAAAATCATAATACGGAAAAACAAGTAAACAGTTACAACACAGAATGGTAAGTGCTAACTAAAAATGAGGAGGGAAAGGATGTAATTGAGGCAAAGAGGAGGCAATAAACTTGTTTCACAACCCATTCAATATTTATCTGATATTCCATGTAACCCTCCACAAATTGTGCCTGAACCACATCTTCCTTGGTTGGTCATGCCTCCCCTACTTTGATCACTAAGATCCATCATTATAATAGTAATAATCAGCATCATAGCAGCTAATGCTCATTGAGCATTTACTGTGTGTTAGATGCAGCCAGGTACTTTACAAACAATGTCTCATTTAATCATCGCAACCCTGTGATATAGATTCTATTATTATGCCCATTTGTGAAATAGGAAATTGAGGATCAGATAAGTGAAGGCCTTTGCCCAAGGTCTCATATGTGCTCCATGAAGTAGCCCTCAGGGCATCTGCTATTTTCTTCCTCCACTGCTCTGGCTTGCTGTCGATATCTAATGTTATCATTGCTGCTTGATAGCATCACCTACTGAAGGCACCAATACCAAGCAGTGTCTATGCCAAAGTCTTATGTCCAGAGCATTAACGTTCAAGTCCAGGGTATTGGTTCTTGAAGCTTTTAGCATTGCTTCTCATAGATGCTAAATATCTGAGGGAAATGAATATATTTTGTGAAAGAGTTTCTTGTAGTATTTAATTTTGCTTTTATTACAGTTCCTGTGCTTGGGTTTGGTGCTGAATTACCTAGGTTTGATTTTCAGCCCTGAAACTTAAGTGCTGTGTGATCCTGGCAAAATTGCTTAAGTTAAAGCAGAGATAATAGTATCTACTTTAAGTGTTTGTTATAAAACAGCCCAGCGTTTGGTTCGTAGCGCAGGTTTAATAAATGTTAGTTATTATGACTAAGAAAACTGGCTTCTTTTTCTTACTATTAAACAGGCTTTATCTATCAACCTCTTGCCTCTTTACGGGTACTTTCTATCTGTTTATTTCATCTTACCTTTATTGATCTTATTCACTCTAATTGCTACTGTCATGCTCCTTTCCATTACAGACACTTTGATCATGCTGTTCACTCTGTCTGGAAAGTTTCTTTTCCTCTTTGCCTAGCCAATTCCCATTTGTTCTTAAACTCCATAAGGGCAAGGACTCTATCTGGTTTCTGTTTACCATTTTACACCCAGAGCTTATATGGTAGTTGATGTTTGTTGCATGAATACCAACCTAAGTCTAGAATCTCACTTTATTCACTTCTTCCTCAGTACATTAATTCATGCCCTGGCTATAGTCTTTTTTCTGTCTACTCAGTGGTTCTAAATATTTTTTTGACAAATATTCACTAAATAAATACTATATGTTAGGTTCTGTGCTAGAGTCTGGGAAAATAACTTTGAAAAATACAAACTTTCTGCTCTTGAGAAGCTGTTTGTTCATTGGAAGACATAGGCATTCAAAGAGAGAAATTATAATGCAGAATGATGTAGTATACTTGAGGCCTATTATGAATTCATTGGCCACCATGGACCCATGGAAAATGAGAATATAAATTTATTTTGGAAAGAACGGGAAGGATTCACAGATTAAGTAATATGTAAACTGAGTCAAAAATAGTAGCAATTTTCCAAATAGACAAGTAGGGGTAAAGCGTCTGGCGGAAAGAATTCCACGACAAAAGTATGAAAGCTTTTTCTTCTTTTGTTGATCATTACTTTTAAAAACCGTTTTCTTTATTACCCTTTTGATATTAGATTAACATGTTCATCTCTAATAACTACAATACTGCTCTGTTTACCATTTTTCAACGTCTATACATTACATATATCATTTATTATTGTCCTCAATTTTTCCCCCTGCCCTGGGTTTCCATTGCATATACTAATTCAGTTCACTTTTTGGTCCTTCTTTGTAATGAGTATTGTTCTTTAATTTTTATGTGCACAAGATGTACATTCTTAATGGTGACTTCCCTTCTAATGCTCACTGTATTTAGCACTGTACCTGGACCCCGGATTCGAGGTGCTCAACTGAATTGGTAGGAGTCCAGCACTGAGTGGTATGTAATGTAAATTCAAGAAAGTGGCTGAAGGATAGTGGAAGAATTTTAGTTCCAGCAAATCTTGATAAGCCACCACAAATAGAAGCATAGTGGGGAGACTTGGAAGGACCATTGAAAAGGCAAGCAAAGAGACTCGGGTTTTACACGCAGTGTAGTTTTGTGGGTCCGCCTATTCTCTCTGCGCCTGTGGCTCCAAATCTGTTAAATGAAGCCAAACGACTAGAGCGCCCCATTCTGATCCTTCTGAATCAGAGGCTGTTGTACGCTCCCGCAGCAGACTAAGTCCCAGGTGAGCGAGGAGCCCACCCTGAATGGCCGGAAGGAGAGGGGCGGGGCCTCCAGGCTTGCTGCTGGGCCCGAAAGGGCTGGGGGAAGGGAAAGCGGGACTGACAGTTTCTGGGGAAAAGCAAAGGGCGGGCGCAAGGCTGCCTCCTGAGGCTCTCCTTACTTGCAATTCCTTCCGCTTTGCTGAGTTGGGAGTGGCGACCTCCAGCACAGGTGGGTTCCACCCCATGGATCGGGGAAGGGGTGTCCTGGGTGGGTGCGACGGATGGGGTTTGCCCAGGCACTTGCTTTCAGGCCTGGCGCAGTGGGGGCGGCGGTTCCCACCCCGGCAGCTCGGCCCCTAGGCGGTGGTACTCACCTTAACCCTGGCACAGGAAAAGACCACTCGTGCCTTGCTGCAGGGCTGTCGTCATGGTTTGTGCCAGCTGCGCGACAGAGTCTGCCGCGAGATCAGCGCGGGGCCAGATGGGCCTAGCGCTTGAAAAGAGCTGGAAGACCTGGAGCAAGCTCCCGTTGGGACTGACGCCCAGTATACATTGTTTCAATCTCGGTCGGACTTCCCAGTCCTGGGTCTGTCACTGACTTGGTGTCTAGCTTTCAACGAGTTCCTTACTCTTTCCATATTTCACTTTGCTCGGCAGTGGAGTGGAAGGTGGAACTCGGCTTGGCTGTCTGCAAGACCTTGCAGCATTGACTTTCTTTCGCTCTAATATCCACTAATCTTCTCTGCCCAGATTTTACCCTTTGTCTGCCCCTTTGTCTGAGCAAGGATGCCTAGCAAGAATCGGGAGTGGCAGGGCAGGTTATTGCGGAAGCTATGGGAGGAAATTCTTTGTTCTGAAAACAACTCTTAAAAAGTCTTTTTAATACTATGGATTGCCCCCAAAGTTGGAAACCAGAATCATTCAATGCTTACTTGAATGCCAACTCTGAAGAATGTTCTTTCGGATGCTTTATTATTAAATATTTTAACCAGATGATTGTTTGACCGAAATGCTTTGTGTTGAATGAACATAATAGACTGCTTAGCAAGTCTCATCATAAAAGACTTAGGTGATTTAATTGCAGAAAGAAAACCTTGAACTCTCATACTTAGGAACATTTCCATAATCCATTACTATACACCAGTTTTCAGAGTTGCTTCTTAGCTTGGTATTTCCCTTTTAGAAAACATTGTAGTAAAAGTTACTTGCATTTTATTTTACTTGAACTTAACTATAAAGGCAAAGAAGATTTATAAACACTATGGACCAATACTGTGGTGTCATTCTGATTCCTCTGCATTAAGGAACTGATGATAATGATAGTGGCAACCATATATTGTGCAGAACACTGTAATCTTCACAAGATGAAAGGTGAATATATTTACTTATCACTATACCTCAAGAGATTATACTTTATGATGAAGGGAATGTTCCCTGGGTTGGCTGAGTCTGGGGGCATTTCTTGGGTGCCCCACCTCATTCTTTATTTATGGGAAGTGTGGACAGGAATGGATCACTTCCTTGTTTTGGCATCTGTATTAGGAACCACAAGCAGTTGTGTATCTCCGCTTGTCAACCCTGGGGACAGCAGTAAAATATCCAAACTGATCACTCGGTGACTTAGTGTTTCTGGCAGTTGTGTTTTCTGCCTGCAGGAAGAGAGAGGGGGGCCCTGGATTAATAAATCTCTTTGGTAAAAAAGATTCTCCTTCTGACTGGAGCCAAAGTGAACATACATCCAGTTGGCCACCTTTGTGACCCTCTTTCTACAACACCAAATGCCCCCCATGCTCATATGGGCTGTACACGCACCTGCCATTGACCTCACGTAAAGAATGGACACGGTAAGAGGCTCTTGGCAAAACCCCGTCTGTGCCACACCTGCAGGTTCTAGGCAAGGCGCCGCTGAGATGAAGGTGTGGAACCTGATGATTTCCCAAAGGGCCGATAAAGCGAGGGGGACATTGTAATAGACATCTGCTGAGCCAGCCCTGAGGGTGAGTTTAGACTGGCTGTTTGGCAGGACCTGGTGAATGCTTTGGTCAGATTTTCACTCTGTTCATTCATTCTTTCACTCCAGAGACAATCAATGAATGCTTACTCCGTGCCAGGATGCTGATCTCCTCACTGAGATTAGAGCACAAGGGGACAGTAAGTTTGGGAGGACAACAGGAAATCAGCTTTAAGCATGCCAAGTCTGAGGCCTCCTCCCTCTTCCCTGTTCCCTGTATCTAATCAGTACAAAATCTCATCACTTTTGCATCCCAAATATTTTCCAAACCCACCCACTTCTGTTTGCGCCCCGGCACTGCTACTCCAAATTTAAAGCCAGAAACATTCCTTTTTATAGAAGCTTTAAGTCTTTATTTAAAAGACCGGAATCATTGCTTGACCCTCAGCCCTCATGGGAAAACCACCACTCCTACCATCACCATGGCGGCAGTAGCAACAACACACAGCAGCCTAACGAGCTCCGTAGGATCCCTAATAAACTGTCCACAGATGTTTTTTTTCCCTCTGCTTTCCAGGGCATTTTTAAAATTTTGTATTGAGATATAATTTACATGCTATAAAACTGACTTGTTTTAAGTGTACACTTCAAGGATTTTTAGTAAATTTATTGAGTGGTGTAACCATCACTATAATTCAACTTTAGGCATTTCCATCACCTCAATGACATCTCTCTCTCATCCAATTGCAGTTAATCCCCGTTATCATCCCTGGCTCCTGGAAACAACTAATCTGCTTCCTGTGCCTATGGATTTGCCCATTCTGGACATTTCCTAAAAATGGAATCATACACTATGTGGTCTTTTGTGACTTGCTTCTTTTACTTATCATGATGTTTTCAAGGTTCCTCCATGTCGTAGTATGTATCAGGACCTCTTACTTTTGACGTGTGAATAATGTTCCACTGTATGTATATACTACCACATTTCGTTTATTCATTCATCAGTTGATGGTTATTTATGTTTTTTCCACCTTTTGGCTACTGTGAATAATGTGCTATGAACACTGATGTGCTGGTTTTTGTTTGAACACCCATTTTTGGTTCTTTTGATTATATACCTAAGAGTTGAATTGCTGGGTCATATTGTAACTATATGTTTAATCTTTTCTGAAATTGTTTTCCAAAGGGGCTGTACAGTTTCACATTTATTATATTTACATGTACCAACAGAAATATCTGAAAGTTCTCATTTCTCCATATCCTCACCAACACTTGTTATTTTTCCTTTTATAAAAAAATTATACCTATCCTTGTGAATGTGAAGTAATATCTCATTATGGTTTGAATTTGCATTTCTCTAATTATTAATGATATTGAACATATCTTCATCAGCTTGTTGGGCATTTGTATATGTTTATTAAATGTGTATTAAATATTTTGCCCATTTTTCAATTAGGTTGTTTTGCTTTTTATTATTAAAATGTAAGAGTTCTTTATATACTTTAGATAGAAGTCTTTTATCAGGTATATGATTTAAAAATATTGTTCCCAGTCTGTGGCTTGTCTTTTAATTATTTTTTTATTGAAATAACATTGGTTTTTAATATTATTTAAGTTTCAGGTGTACAACATTATAATTCAATATCTGTATACACTATAGCATGCTCACCCCCAAAGTCTAGTTTGTATCCGTCACCATACATTTTACCCCCTTTACACATTTTGCCTTCCGCCCACCTCCCTTCCCCACTGGTAACCACCAATCTGTTATCTGTATCTGTGAGTTTGTTGTTTTGTTTGTTTTTATTTTTTCTTTTTGTTTTATATTCCACACATTTGACTTTTATCCTTCATCTTGTTAATGTGGTATGTTGCGTTGATTGATTTATGGGTGTTGAACCTTCCTTGCAGCCCTGAAATAAATTCCACTTGATTATGGTGTATGATCCTTTTAATGTATTGTTGTATTTGGTTTGCTAATATTTTGTTGAAGATTTTTGTATCTATGTTCAGCAGAGATATTGGCCTGTAACTTTTTTTGCATGTTGTTCTTGTCTGATTTTGGTGTTGTGGTTATATTGGCCTCATAAAATGAGTAGTGTTTCCTCCTCTTCAATTTTTAAAGAAGAGTTTGAGAACAGATATTAGATCGTCTTTGAATGTTTGGTAGAATTCATCAGTGAAGACATCTGGTCCTTGACTTTCGTTTTTTGGGAGGTTTTTGATTACTGTTTCAATGTCCTTACTAGTGATCAGTCTATTCGAGTTTTCCATTTTTTCATGATTCAGTCTAAGAAATTTGAATGATTCTAAGAATTTATCCATTTCTTCTATGTTGTCCAATTTGGTGGCATATAGCCTTTCACAGTATTCACTTATGATTTTCTGTATTTCTGTGGTATGTGCTATAACTTCTCTTTCATTTCTGATTTTATTTATTTGACTCTTCTCTTTTTTTCTTAGTGAGTCTAGCTAAAGACTTGTCAATTTCATTTATTTTTCTCACAAAACAAGCTCGTAGTTTCATTAATCTTTTTATTGTCTTTTTAGTCTATTTAATTTATTTCTGCTTTGATTTTTATTATTTACTTCCTTGCACTTACTTTGGTAAATGAAGTTTTGGGGTTTTTTTAGTTCCTTAAAATGTAAGGTTAGATTGTTTATTGGAGATTTTTCTTCTTTCTTGGAATAGGTCTGTATTGCTATAAACTTCCGTCTTAGTACTGCTTTTGCTGCATTCCAGATATTTTGGTATATCATATTTTCATTTTCATTTGTCTACATGGATTTTTTGATTTCTCATTTGATTTCTTCGTTGACCCAATTGTTGTTCAGTAGCATGTCATTTTGTCTCCACATAGTTGTAATTTTTTCAGCTTTCTTCTTCTAGTTTATTTCTAGTTTCATATTGTTGTGGTCAGAAAAGATGCTTGATATGGTTTCAGTCTTGTTAAATTTATTGACACTTGTTTTGTTTCCTAACATATGGTCTATCCTCAACAATATTACTGCTATTTTTGGATGGAATGTTCTATTAGTTTTGAGAGAGAGAGAGAGAGAGAGAGAGAGAGTGTGTGTGTGTGTGTGAGACTTAGGATTTTCCTATGCTGGATTTTGTCAAAGACCACTTTTTTCCCAGATAGCATTTTTGTCTCTCCCTTTTTTTTTTTGGCCTAATTCCTGTTTAAAATCTCCAGTACAGTGTTGGATAGAAGTGGCGAGAGTAAACATACTTGTATTGTTCTTGATTTAGAGGAAAGCAGTCAGTCTTTTACCAT